GCATAAGGCATCGCTTATCTATTTATATGTTGTTTTAAATTGTACTCTTGAGATCTGTGTTTTTTAATTGTTAATTAATATGTGAATGCCAATTTCCGGTTGAATGCACTAAGTAATGTGCACGTGAATATGAATACACTTAGTTGCGTTTTAAAGGGATTGTAAAGATTTTTTATAAAAATTTTCAGTGCATCGTGGACATTGATAGCAATTATTTGCGTTATTCCAATTCTCAATCGAACGTCTGTAATTCCTGCAAGATAATTATGCTTTATCACATAGGGCCCTTCGTGATTGGTGACGTCATGAAACACTTTTGGAACTGCAAATTGAAGAATTTGATGCTACAATGTCCCCGAAACAAATAACAATTTTAGAAACATATTTACAATTCCTTTAAACCGATTTCGTCTGTAGCCATCCACATTCTTTTTTCTAGAATAACTTTTTGTTCTGGGTTTGTATGCAATCATTCAGAACTAACGAATCAAGTTCAAATCACTACGCCTGACAAAATCGTTCGATTTTTTAAAAAAAAGGTTATTAATATTAATACCTACATGATTGGTTGGATTTATACAAAGTTTATATTTTTAAAGAAAAGGACAATATTTATGTATAAAATCTGAATAAGGCAAATGATAGCTCATTCTGTAAGAAAGACGATTTTCCACCCAGGTTTCTTAGCCGGGACGTATCTGTAAATTAACCAAACAATATTGTGGTTTTTCAAGTTATTTAAAATGTTGAAAATATTCTTTCGTTGCAATTGTTGAAAAGAAATTATGCAGCTACTTTCATTTTACTGAGTTTGCGTCGAAACATCACGCAAGAGAACTACGCAGCCAACTAAGGTAAGACACGTACGCTTCGAATGGCCAGACCTTCTTCTAGAGAAATTGCTGATAAACTTTCATTAAGTTTGTAATTGATGAAGTGTTAATAGTATACTTACCCTTGCATGGTGTTTCCGTCCAGTCTGAATCACCAATACATCGTGTTTCGCCTATTTGACGATGAACGTAATATTGACCACATTTATATCTTGCTGTATAATTACCAGGGGATTCAATGACTTCTAATAATTGATGACCTTTTGGGACTGGAGGAGGTCCACAAGCAGGACCTAGATGATATAAAACAGGACTTACGGAACCAAGATTTAATTATTTCTAATAGTTGGTGACCATTTGCTTTTAAGCAGCACCTCTTAAACGGCGCTCAACTATAAGTTTGTGATCTGTTCTGGTAACTGATAATAGTTTCCTAAAGCCACTCTGACATTTGCACGTTTTTCGTCCTGGCATTGCCGCGCTATTGCTCGTGCTATTTCCATGCTTTGCAGTTGGGAACATTGGAGTTTGCGACCTGTTAGCATACTATACACAGCATACGCAATGTGTACATAAACTCAAACGCAACCCCAATAAAAAAAATCAGAGCTAAATCTATCAAAATCCTTAGCAAATCCAATTTTCTGCTTACATGTGTCCTCAAACTCAACACCTCCATAAGCGTAACGGATGACTCCGTTAGCCTGTTTTACTATTTGAGTATACATTTAGGCATCCTTAACACAGTTACAAGTTATCCTACGCAGAATGTTACAACCACCTGTTCATTTTAAATCTCCCTGCAATCATTTATGAACAGTGGAACAGCGTCAGATCACCATCTGAATTAAGAAGCGATGTTAAAAGTGTCTACCAATAGTGCTTTCTTTTCCTTGTCATAGAGGTAATATGCTATGGCCCAAGTTTTAACAATATCCAAAATTTGACTTTTAAGTTTGATAAACCATGTT